CCCCATCGCCAACCGCCCTCCACACAGCACACACAACACACACAACAGCCGCGAGCAGAGAGCCGCACACGCAGCATCCTCATTCCTCGCCCTCACTGCCCACCCCAGCGACTGATTGGACCTCCTCGCCCACCGGCTTCTGCGCCTGCGCCTATCCGCCGTACGCGGTCGCACTGTTTCCGATCGTGCGTAAGCGCCGCAGTTCGCGCGCTGTGATTGGGCCGGCGTTGTGGTGTGCTGGTGAGGGAGGGAACTTGCTTAGGGAACTTGCTTGAGGAAGTTGCTTAGGGATGGAGACGGAGATTGCGTTGCGGGGAGCTGAGGTTGGTAGGGGTTGGGGAACATGTGGGGATGGGTTGGGCTGGGTTGGAGGGGAGAGGGCGGTGTTGCAGAGTAGAGGAGAGCTCCATGGGTGGCTGCTTGCTTGACGAATGCCTGCCCTGCTTGCTCTGTCTGCCTGTCAACAGCAGCAGCAGCAGCAGCAGCAGCAGCAGCAGCTCCGCACCACCACCACCACCACCATCACCACCATCAGGCTCTCCATAGGTACGCAGCAGCAGCGTAAGTACCTAAATTCCTAAGTACCAAGAGCAGCCGCGCAGCCGCGCACAACCCCTCCTCCCTCACCAACCACCAACCCACCAACCCACCAGCCAGCCTCTACGACTTCCAGCGCCAGCGCCAGCGCCAGCGCCAACCACCCATCCAGCCCAGCCCATCCGGCACGGCACGGCACGGCACGGAACATCGCGTACATCACCCGCGCGCCACACGCTCACACACGAGCACACGAGCACAAGAGCCCCTGGGCGCTTGCTTGCCTGCTTGCGGCGTGCAGCCCCTCCCTGTGTCAGTCAGTCTCAGGTAGGTAATAGGTAGGTCGTTCGTTAACAGCAGAGCGCACTGCGCAGCACAAGCACGCAGGCACGCAGCCGCCCGCCCATCGGCACCGCACCAGCGATCGCGATACGGATTAGATACAGAGGACAGACGATCGCCATCGCGATCGCCATCGTGCAGCAGCCGTGTAGGTAGGTGTGCTCTTGCTTCCCGCCTTCCCCGTCTACCTTGGGTGTACTGGTGAGTTGGGCTCGGCACTCACTCAGTCACTCACTTACTCACTCACTTACTGCGCTACACCATACCACACACCGCACCCCACCCACACAGCACAGGACAGCACAACACCGCTACAGCCACTGCAGGGCGTAGGTAGGTCGGTGAGTCGTATCCGTGGCCGGATGGCCGGGTGGGCGGCGTGCCGTGCCGTGTCGTGGTGGTGGAGATGATGATGCTAGGCGCGGAGGCAGCGGCGGCGGGCCGGGACGATGCGCCCAGTGTAGTGCGTGTGTGTGTGCGTGCGTGCTGGCGGCGGTGGCGATGCGCAAAAGGAGCATGTAGGCAGGTAGGTATGCTAGGACGGGACTGATGATGATGAGGAGGAGGAGGAGGAGGAGGGGGCGCATGCGCAAGGGCGGATGGCGGGTGCAGTTGCTTTTATTCTTCCCTCCTTTCATTCTTGCTTTCTTTCTTTCTCACCCTCTTTTTCTCACCCTCTTTCTCACCTTCTCTTTTTCTTACCTACCTTACCTTACCTACTCTCTGCCATCCATGCATACCTATCCTACCGTGCTCTGGCGTGCCGTGCCGTGCCGTGCCGGCGCCAGCAGCAAAGGGGCAGGAGTGAGGAGGGGCGGCGTACCTGCCTGCGTGCTTGTACTAGACGCTTACGCCTAGGTACGCTTACGCTTACGCCTACACTTACGCCTCCGCCTACGCAAGCGCCAGAAGGCCGTGCGACGGGGTTCCCGCGCGCGTGCGTGCGTCTACGCGGCGGGTCGTCCTTGGTGTGGCTGGCTGGCTGGCGGGCTTCAACGACGTAAGCTCGTCATCCGTCGCCCGTTCGTTTTCCTGGGAGACGAGAAGAAAAGCCTGCGCGTTTGAGGTATTGCTGCCGCTGGTACTGCATGAAGGAAGGCCTTTCTGTTTCTGTTTTTGTTATTTGTTTTTGTCTTTGTTTTGTTTTTGTTTTGGCGTTGGCGTTGGCGTTCCGCGCAGGAGGTCTGTTACCTTATTGTTAATATGGCTGGTTACCTAGGTAGGTAGGCTGGCTGGCTTGGCCATGGCATGGGGGTTTCCCGTGTATTGCCAAGGGCGAAAGCGACCACCTACGGGCGGTGCCGGAAGGTGCGTGATGTCATTCTGCAGTGTTGGTGGTTTCTGTGTTCTTTGCTTTGCTTCCACCGTTTTGCTTTGCTGTGCTTTGCTGTGCTTCTTTGCTGCGCGCTGCTTTGCTTTGCTTTGCGCTGCAGCTTCATCGATGGAAAGACGCTAGCGCATGTGGCTTTAGCAATCGATCAGTCAAGTAATATGTAGTTATCATGCGCAGAGGCCTCGTCTCCACAAGCTCGAGGATTCCGAAACGGGCAAACGGCCGAGTCTAGGACGGCAGGCAGAAGGAGGCATATACGGGAACAGCAGAGTTTCCTTGCAAAAAAACAACGCAAACGCGCTGAGCTATCTATTCCCATGCCAAGCCGTTTGATATGGGCAGGGACACGCGAACGAGCCGTCGTCCAGGGTGGCAAGCGACGGTCAGCGGCGGCGCGCTCACCTACCTGCTACGACGAGAGTGGACATGTCTCCAGAGTGGGTGGGTGGACGGCGGGCAGGCCTACAATACAAGGGGATCCTGCACTCGGCCTGCCCCAGGTGGGTGGCACAAAAACAAAAGGCCAGAGCGAGTATGACGCCCAGTGCGAGGAACTGGAGGCTAACCGTACCTACGTATGCATGCAGCTGTGGGCCTGCGGCTCGTCAGGTGGAGTGGGTGGAAGAGACGACGAGCGAGGCCGCTGCTGCTGCAGCAGGGAAGAGGTTCTCGACGCTAGCAATGCAAGCAAATGCAAGCATGCAAGCGTGAGCAAAGAAAAGGCTTGATGGGGGGGGGCTTAGCCGGACTCGGCCT